ATAGTGTGAAACCGCAAGGTATTATTGAGAAACGATTAATCAACGGAGCGCGTCCGGTTCTGTTGCGTAAATCTTGGACGTCGCTGATGGCCACGGGCTGACGAGGCGGTGCTGACGTGTCGACGGACGCCGCCGCACAGCATTAAATTGCACTCGAGGATTAAGTGGTTCAGTTTCACGTCGCAGCTCGTCGAAGGTCACCTCAGATCTTTCGCGTTAAATTCAGAAACCCTATTCGTCGTGTTCCACAACCGTAACCTCATTCTTTTGATGCTTGGCTGACCTCCTCGACTGCTCAGTTAATTTTGAGGAACCTATATGCGCCTGAAAAGGAGATTCAACTATGCATGAGGAGGACTATGCATTTTGCCGCTAGGTATACGATTAAACTACTGGTCTTTGAAAATTAATTGCTTGGTTTCAAACTTTAAACCAAACATCTTGCCTTCAACAAAGGTATTGTTGTAGTACCGTAAAGCTTGGACAGACTTACAGCTTTCACAGTTTACTCTGCTGTGCCATACGATTCTCTGACATGCAGAAGTGACAGTTGTTTAAACGAACTTCCGGAGCGGTTGGAGGAAACTGAAGCTAATATAAAGCTGGACATGTCGTTTTAATCTTGTCAGCATATTTTTATGATTATCGAATTTGGAGGATTTTTTGCTTCTAATATCCTTATAGTACGAGGATATTCCTCCAAGAGAACTGATGTTTGCCTCGAAAGATGAAGCGGCTTTCTCGTTCCCCCTCATAAAATTCAAAACGACGCACCCAACATCATTATGCATTTCTCGTGGACGGCGTCGACTGCTCCATCTGATTCTTTACCACGACAGAGCCTTAAGCTTGGCGCATTCCCGGTATTCTTTTGATATGCTGTTGCTGGTAACCGGTAGCCTGCAAAAATCAGTCTTTGACCTTTGAAGCACGAAGCTTTTCGTTTCAGGCACGTTCAAGCTCATGCCGGCTACGTCGCACTTCGTTAGGAACCTTTTCAGAGTATTGTGCAGAGCAGTTTCAGAAGGGGCCCATAAAACGAAGTAGTCTGTAAGCTGCAGCCATCTCGTCTCCACGTCTCCTATGTTGATGCTGATGGCGCTGATTGCGCCTGACTATCATATCTACGTACATCACAAACATTACAGGGGACAGAACGCAGCCTTGGCGGAGAAGAGTGGCATCGTTAAGGGGTTTCGACTTAACTCGCAATTTACTCTGGTTCACTATACGCTGATACCAGCGCGATATTAGGTGACTCGTGGCAACTGGCCGTCGATCCGATGTACTCTCAGGCAGGTACATATTTTTTTCTCCACGAAATCATGGAACATCCACAAGTCATGTGCTTTCTCCATATTAACAAAGCACGTTTAAACCGGATGTACGCACTCCCAGAATTTCTCGACAGTCTGGTGTAAGGCGAAGATCTGGACTAAAGTGCTTCAGTCTGACCTGAAGCCACACTGCCTTCCTTGTATCTTA